ATTCGATCTCGGCGCCACTCGCGAACACTTGCCCATGCTGTCCAAGTTGAATTGCACAGAGCTCTTTGCAGGGCAGTATCGAAATTGGCAGTGGGTGAAAATTCTTCCCCAGAGATTCATTTCGACTTTGCAGCGTGGGTTCACTGACTAGGGCGTGACAGCAGATGGACAGCCTGGCAAGGCTAGGTTCTGGATTTTTATTCTTGTCTTTGTATTTGCGTCCTGATGATAAGCTTTCTCTTTGTGCCCCTCATATCAAGGCCTCGTTCCAGTATGTGCTGCTGCATGTCAACATGCAGCAGGATCAGCCGACTGACGTGCTCTTGGGGTGGTTCGAAGACCCAAGTCGTCTTCCAGAACCGGCCTTCGATGAGACACCACGAATCTCGACCACTGACCTGTCTCGGAGGAAAACCCTTCAGCGTAAGCAAGGGACAGGCGGAAAGACAAGGGGGGACGCAACACACCAAGACACCAAGCCAGCAGCTCCCAGGTCAGCTTGCCACATGGCGAGCGCTAAGATCGGCATCGCAAGCCACCAGCCAGCCACCAGTGCACTCGGTTTCGTTCTCAGGCCTCTCAGATAAACGCCGCAGCAAGCCATTTCATCAGCGTCCCCTCTTTCTGCCGCCCTGCCTTATTGTATGCTCCAGAGTGGCGTTTGAGGGGCCGGCAGGCCAAGTTTACGGGGCTGGGGGATGTCCAGGTCTGGGTCCGCGGTGTCCCAAGCTCAATTGTTAAATCGACTGCTGTGCTGCTTCTTGGGTCGCCGCAGTCTGACCGGCCGCAGTCGATAGCCTGAAAAGAACGAATCATGGAGAGATCATCAATGTTCAGCGAAGACACCCTTGATGAAAAGGCAACCCCAATACAATACAGCGCTTACCAAGCTTTCACCCCGAGCTCCAGCAGCTCGCAGCAAGTAGCTCCGCCATCCGTCGATCAGCATCCGAGAAGCCGTCCAGGAAGGGGTAGGCGCGCAACGCGCAAGATTATCAGATCAAAACTTCGACGCCACGTCGTCGCACTGCGCTACCTTGACTAACGCCCGCCGCTAGGAAACCCGTGCGGGAAATAGTGGGCGGCGAGCACCCAGCGCCAGAACAGCTTCCCCCCTTTCATCCTCTCGTGGCAGAGGAGAGATGTTCGCAGCGAACCCACTCGACACGAATCAATGATACTTCTGCGGGTGAACTCGTCATTGCCGACTCGGAGTCAGTGTGTCGAGTGTCGGGCGTCTGAACATACCGACTCATGGACTTGCAACATCGTCAGTATGGCCCCAAATTCCAACCTCCGAGGCGAGGTCTCGGGGGTATCAACAGCGGCATGGCTTCGTTCGAAAGCTTATTCTGCTGCATCCTCCCTAGGCCCTGGCCCCTAGATCGGAATGTCTCCAGGGGTCAGAACCGAGCTGTCATGGTGCATCATTGCCCTGAGAAATCTGCCAACGTCTTACGTGGGTTGCACACGTCAACTGCCCCACGCAGAGTCTTGTTGCCATGCTTGCCCGATGTCGGATGTGCGTTGAAGCGCAGAGGGAGATGGAAGCAGAGCGAGTCTGACTTCAACCCTCGCTCTACTTGTGACTGCCGCTATGAGGCGTGCAGGGTGGCGTTGCAAGTGTGTCGCGTGAGCAAGCCAACGGCAGTTGAGCTTGCTTCCTTTCAGCCACAAATGTGCCAAGAAAATTGAGATATACCCAGGCCTCGTCCTGACGGATTCAATTACATATTTTTTCTTTCAATGGCCACGAAAGAGATTTCTCGGGATTCCTGGAGGGGGTCTGCTCCGCTTACTGAATGGCCGGCTGGTCTGGTGGGTAGCCTTGGCTCCTGGAGGATGCTCAAACGGGATGTTATCGTGTGACGCGTTCCAGGCCCTGCACTGCAATGAGCGTTCCCTGCTGTCGAAATAAGCTATTGGTTCTTGCTGTGATTATGCAGGGACAATGGACCCTCTGCTCGGCCCCCTCTCTGCCCCTTTCAGGATGCTAGGCATTGGCTGTTGTGCATTGTGTTCTGTGAGGCCGTCTTGGCCGGACTTGAGTTGAGCTTTATGGGGCGATCATGCTGCGCCGGGAGACTGGATTCAAGGGCAAATATTTTGTGGTGTTATTTCTAGGGTCAGCTTTTACGCTGTTACTCCCAAGAAAATAATCAAAGTGTTCGTTCTACGTGATCATTGCTGTGTCAGGGGTAAGGTTTGAATCATAACCTAGGTAGACAGCGCTGCATGATATAGCTAACTGGACGCTTTTCTCATTGCAGTTTTCTGTCTTTCAGAATGATTTGTAAAGATCCTGTAAGGGCATATTGCATCATTTCTCATTGGTGGCGGGCATTCTCTTAACTGCACCACCAATGGCTCATCTGTATGCCTTGACGGCACGATCATCGTATCCTCAGATATGTTACCACTAAAGTTGAAACATCCGGCTGACGTCGAACTACATTTCTCTAGACTTGACGAAATACTGCCATCAGTTTCATCCTTCCTGGTCACGTGGGTTGCTGCCTAGATCTCGTCTCGGCCGGTGTCAACGATTGGATGTGATGATTTGATTGGCATGACCACCAAGTCCTCTGCGCAGGATGATTTTTGCGTGTAAATAAATGTCAGCTGCGCAATCATTTCTGCCACAATGCACGCAGCAGACCACCTACGAGCCGACCGACCGCGATGGCAAACACGGCACCCAAAATCGCCGGGCTCGAGCGTATCGAGAATCTCGATGTGATCGATCGCAAGGCCGAAACACTTGCGGGCCATATCCGGAAGGCAAAGCACATGATCGCGTTCACCGGAGCTGGTGTCTCGACGTCTGCCGGTAATGACTGGTGTCTTTGTGTCAATGGACCTCACTCATCGTTTTCGCAGGCATCCCGGACTTTCGAGGCCCCGATGGCGCGTGGACGCTTCGGGCCCAAGGGCGGGAGCGCACCGGGGAGACGACGAGCACGCTGCAGGCCATCCCGACGCTGACACACATGGCATTGGTCGAGCTCCAGAACCAGGGCATCCTGAAATACCTCGTCAGCCAAAACTGCGACGGCCTGCACAGGAGAAGCGGCATGCTGCCCGTGAGCACAAGCATGGCAAGGGCGTAGCAGACACACTGTACTCATGGACAGCACAGGATCGAATCTCCGAACTGCACGGCAACAGCAACCTCGAGTACTGCCGTGACTGCGGCAAGGAATATCTCCGCGGTTGTTCTCCCCGACGTCCTCGCTCCAACGGGTCCCTTTCCAGCTAACAGCCAACAGACTTCCGCGCCGTGTCCACGTACGAAAAGTCCATCCGCGACCACCGCACCGGCCGCAGGTGCGCCTCGTGCCACGGCGTCCTGCTCGACACGATCATCAACTTTGGCGAGACCCTCTCGGCCGCGACGCTGCAGCGCGCGCGAGACCACGCCGCCTCGGCAGACCTCTGCCTCGCCCTCGGCTCGTCGCTGACGATCCCCCCGGCCTGCGAGATCCCCGAGGCGGTGGGCCGGCGGCGCTTCAGCGACCTCGTCATCTGCAACCTGCAAGCGACGCCGCTGGACGGGCTCGCGCGCCAGCGCGTCTTCGCCCGGACGGACGACCTCATGGCGGCCGTCATGGCCAAGCTGGGGCTCGCGATCCCGGCGTTTCGCCTGCGCAGGCGTCTCGTCGTCGGGCTCGAGACGACGGGCGACGAGCGCCATGTGCTGCGCGTCAGGGGGGTTGACGTTGACGGCACGCCGGCGACGTTTCTGCGGTCGGTCAGGGTTGCGCATGCGCGGCGGCCTGCGCGGACGGAGCCGCATGTCATCCACTTCAACGCGCGGCTGCCGGTTGGCGCGCCGCTGAGCATCGAGCTGGAGTTTATGGGCCATTACGGCGAGCCGAGTTTGGAGATTGCGCACGAGTACAATGGGGTTCAGGATGGGGATACGCGGTACGGGCTGGAGTATGACCCCGAGAGCGGACAGTGGGCGACGAGCGTGTTGATGAGGGGGGTGTAGACCGGCAGTGTAAGGAGTGTCATCAGCTGAGCGTTCGCACTACCGCCAAACTTGCAACAAGAGTTGGAAACAAAAGTTGGAATTCTTCCTCGTGCCCATCAAGACTACTCATTTGACCTCTTGCCACGGGTATCATACCTTGTCACCCACAGACAAACACCGACGATGAAAGAAATTCAACCCATTAGCGCCCCTTGACCTTTCGAATGACAACCTTGTCCCCATCCAGTTCCCATCCGACCCCTTCCTGCGCCGTGAGGACTTTCCACTCGGCATCCGTGCACCTCTCGAGGAACGCGCGCTCGACAGAAAGGTACGTCCTGCCAAAGCACTTGAGCGCATGCGTCCTCATGGCGGGCTCGGCAAACTCGATCAAGCGCGCCTTGTGGCCGTCGACGCTGCGCTTGACCTTGCGGAAGACGACGTAGTTGTCGTGGGCCAGGGCGCCGAGAATGGCATCGACCTTGCCGTCCTTCAACCGGTGGCGCCTGCGCAGGGCGTAGGCCTCGGCGAGGTCGCTGCGGCGGCAGGCCGTGTCGAGCACGAGGTAGGCCAGGACCTCGTGCAGCTCGAGGCCCGAGAGCGGCTGCAGGGGGTGCACGAAGCGCAGCAGGTGGAGGATGGCCGGGTGGTAGGACTCGGGGTGCTTGACGAGGATGGAGAGACGGATGTTGAAGAGGTAGGCCTGGACGGCGAACTCGTCGGCGCGCTTCGAGGCGACGATGCCCTCGCGCAGCTTGCGCAGGGCCATCATGACGTCCGAGAGGCCCTTTGTGTCGGGCATGTTGGGCGTCGGCGGCGCCGAGGACGTGGGCGTCGTCGGGATGCGGCGGGGCGTGGGCGTGGGCGTGGGCGTGGGCGTGGAGGCGGGCGTGGGAGACGGGGTCTGAAGCTCGAGAGAGGCGAAGCGGCGCAGGAGCTCGTCGCGTTCGCCGGCGTCGGAGCAAAAGGTCATGTAGCGCTCGACAATCTTCTTGTAGTACCGTTCTTGGGCCTTGAAGTCGAGAAGCCTGGGCGCTGGGTTAGTAGGTGCGGCTGGTTGGTTTGGAGGGATGCGGGGGAGGGGGCTCGCGTGTTGACCGACCTTGTGTCTCCCTTGGAGGGCAGGCCGATGCTGTCGAGAGCATCCTGATCGACGGGCTTCAAGCGGCCCCAAGGCCCAGAAGATCCCCTTCCTCTGTTCGGCCGCATCACGGTGAGGTTGAGGCGCTGGGGCTGTCCATGGAGGTCATGTTTGATGTCTACGGCGGGACTCGTTGGAAACGGGGCTCCCTCGCTGCTGTTGTTCATCGCCTTATGTCAGCCTTATCGACCCCATAGTACCCCAGACCAAGGCCAGGAATGACTGCTGTGAGCTCCCCTGCTACAGCTGCTACAGTACCCCCACCTTCTGCGATCGGCCTCGAGCCTTTGAGTGCCCTGGACTCAGCATCCAACCCCCATAACCTTCCATCACAAAGACCTCCCTCTGTGTCATGTGTTGCGCTGCAATTGATCGATGCACGCCTCGGGTAAGAGATCATCTCGACAATCAACGTCTGACCTGAACAAACCGAGGGCATAACGTCCACGATCTACATCCCCGATACGGCCCCGCCATACTTGCACTTCCCCCTGGACGGAAAACGGGAGCCGCGGGGTACCTCGGCACTCCAACCACCATGAGGCTGGCACCCTGACTACCTACCTAGGTAGGTAGGTAGTTATCCAAGCTCCATGCCTAGTCTTACAGGCATCGGCCTGCCTCGGCCATCGCATCAACGTCTCGCTCGCCTTCCCCAGACCTCAATCATCACCGCCCACCATGTCAGACCGCGTAGCGCAGCTCACCGCTCACCTCAACTACCCCAAGGGTCTGCTCGCCGGCCAAGTCGCCATTATCACCGGCAGCGGCCAGGGCATCGGCGCCGAAGCAGCTCGCCTCTTTGCCAACGAGGGCGCCAAGGTCATCGTCTCGGATATTGACGCCGGTAGGTTCTTCTGCGTCGTCCTCTCTGCCCTTGACACCCTTTGCTAAGCATCCTCGGCAGGCAAGGCCAAGGCTGTCGCCGAGAGCATCACCAAGTCTGGCGGCCAAGCCATCAGCGTTCCGGGCGACATGCTTGACGCTGCCTACATTGACACGCTCGTCAAGGAGGCCGCCGCTTTTGGCGAGGGCCAGATTCACCACATTGTGAACAATGCCGGCTACACCTGGGACGGCGTCATCCACAAGATGACCGACAAGCAGTGGGACACCATCATCGCTCTGCACTCGACGGCGCCCTTCCGCCTCGTGCGGGCCGCGGCGCCCTACTTCCGCGTCAAGGACGGCGCCAACCGCTCCGTCATCAACGTCTCCTCGACCTCGGGCGTCCACGGCAACGCCGGCCAGGCCAACTACGCCATGGCCAAGGCCGGCGTCACGGGCCTCACCAAGACCATCGCCAAGGAGTGGGGTCCCGCGTTCGGCGTGCGCGCCAACACGGTCGCCTTTGGCCACATCAAGACGCGCCTGACGGACGCCAAGGAGAAGGGCGCCTTCGTCACCGGTCCCGGCGGCGAGAAGATCGCCCTCGGCATCCCGACGGCACCGGCTGCGGCCGCGCCTGGGGAGGAGCACGCCGACATCCCGCTGAGGAGGCCGGGCACGCCGACGGAGGCTGCGTCCAGCATTCTCGCCCTCGCGAGCCCTCTGCTGAGCTACGTGTCGGGACAGACGCTCATGGTGACGGGTGGCCGCAATATGTAGTTGCAAATGTATTTGCAAATGTAGTTGCAACGTCTAGTTGCAACGTGTAGCTGCGAATGAAAAGGACCTGTACCCCTTTCGCCCAGCGCTAGCACGCATGTATCATATTTTCGTGCAAAACAACATGTGCCCTTTTGAAATCGCCAACGTCACCTACAATTAGCTATGTATGCACTCACTAGTGCACTGGTAAAGATGGGGGTTCCCTCAACCCCAACGCCAAAGCCAAACAACGCGCATCCCCGCCTTTCCGTACAACACTCTGTCGTTTTCTTTTTGCATCTCGCCTCTACACCTTGAACCACAGGTTCAGCACGCCCTTGGCATACTCGACAATCTCGTCGCCGCCGAGCTTGCTCTCGCCGTAGACGCGGTCGACAAAGCTGATGGGCACCTCGGCAACCGTGCAGCCCATGCCCTTGGCGCGGACCATCATCTCCATCTGGAACGTGTAGCCCTTGCTCTCGGTGCTGCTGATGACCTTTTGGAGCACCGTCTTCTTGTAGAGGCGGAAGCTGCCCGTGAGGTCGCTGACGCCCGGCCGCAGCACCGTGTCGGCGAACAGGTTGGCGCCGCGGCTGACAAACTTGCGCTTGAGGTCCCAGCCGTAGACGCCGCCGTCGCCGGCGTAGCGCGTGCCCGTGACGATGTCGTAGTCGGCCTCGCGCTGCCGCGCCACCATCTGCGGGATGAACTTGGGGTGGTGGCTGAAGTCGGCGTCCATGATGATGACGAAATTGCCCGTGACGAACTGCAGGCCGTGCACGTAGGCCGTGCCGAGGCCCAGCTTGCCGGCGCGGGGCTTGAGATGGACGTGCGGGCTGTAGGCCTTGACGAGCTGGTTGGCCACCGTCTGCGTGCCGTCGGGGGAGCCGTCGTCGACGATGATGAGCTCCCAGTCGAGGTTGCTGCGGGGGGGAAAGTGTCAGCGGCGTGGAAAGCGTGTACGGATCGAGCGAGTGTCCCTTCGTGGAGAGGAGCTGGCTTACCTCTCGGTGAAGGTGCGGTTGAGCAGCCACGTGATGATGGGCAGGTTGCGGCGCTCGTTGTACGTCGGCAGGATCACCGAGTACTTATTGGCCGAGGCCTTTGCGGGAGCCATGACTGCGGAGGGAGAGTCTGTCGGGTGTGGGAGAGGGAGTCTCGGCACCGAGTGATTCAGTCTATCTACGTGGCGGTCGGAAAAGAGTGTGGTGAAGTTGGCTGAGTGCTAACGTTTTGGCGAGCAGTTGACGATGGTGTCCTGACTCCTGAAGCCTTGGCTAGCGGTCAGGGTCGCGCCGCGTTGAATTGGCCAGACAGTCAGGGAACCCGTCTCTCTCTGTGCTGACTCAGCAACACCGCAATGGATCATCACCCCGACATACGCACACAGCCGGATAGAGCGGTACAGCACAATCTCGCCTCATGGCCATCAGCTGACACCCCTGGACACTTTCGCGGCGCGCAATGCACAGAGAGAGAGTGTGCGAGTCAACGTCACCTCACGTCACCACCAAGTGTCCTCCTCACCCCGCATTTGTTGCCATCAGGAACTGTGAAATGCTACAAACACGCGAATCTATCCTTTGGACTGAGCGTTTCCACCGCGGCACCCATGAACGGTGCCAGTCTCGTCCCAGATAAACCTCTCCGCTCAATGAGCTCGCAAGACGGCAGTGGGCCGTCTCCGCTGGAAGCCGCCAAGCACGCTCAGGCTCTCTATGATGACGGCGCGCTGTTGTTTACAAAGGAATCCCTCCAACACTGCGCAGACCAGCTTGACGCTTTCTGCGCAGGGCAGCATGTGAACTTCATCTCCACGGGGCTCGATGGCGTCGCGGTCAAATCCGCTGCTGTCATGAGCTGGCCACGTCCGTGCAGCGGGAGCAAAGACACAAAATATGTACCGTAGGAATAACATCTACATCTAGACCGAGCACCTGGTGCCCTGAACTAAAGATGTGTTTGCTAGGCGTCGCCCGAAACTGCGCTATAACCCGATCCAATCTCTCACGATTTGGCGCAACAAGAATGACTTCCGGACGCGCAATGACTTCCTGACCGTCGAGGTCTCCTTTCCCATGGAGGAGGTACATGTAACCAGCAACACGTCGGTATACAACCCTCCGACGTATACAGACCACGAACTGCAACAAGTGCTTCAAGAAGCTCGAACGTGGGAGGCTTCTCGATACTTCCAACGGATACGCAAGATCCTCACCATGAAAGCCTTGCCTTCTACTCTCACCAAGATTGTAGCCTTTGGTTTCGGCTCGCTGACCTTCAAAGGCGGCCTCAACGAGACACCCATTCACCAACACACCCTGATGCTTCTACTTCGAGACATCGTTTTCCCGAAGAACGAGCTTGCGTGTATCGCTCAAGATCCAGATTACACAGACGCAGACAGACTGGCTTTGGCTGCAGCCGGCGTTGGCGTCGTCGAAGATCCCAGGGCTTTCCTGGAGGTCGACGAGCAGTCTATCGTCTTGTCCTTCTCCCCGAATGCCCCTGTCAAGCAGATCGTGACAGAAATCAGCAGGCCAGGCATCATCATCTGGATGTACGGTAGCATCAACTTCAATTATCCTTCGTACGAACACCCCTGCCCCACAAGTCGAGCAAACGCCCTGACTAACTGTTGGCAGCACTGATCCTGAGTCTCCACGTGTGGATAAGATGATTCGAGACGAGTACGAAAGAGTATGTATATCTGGCGACAAGCACTTTGGCCCATTGGAGATTTTGATTAGGCGATCTACCTCTCCATGAGCCCTGATGATACATCGTAGGATACTGTCCGAGGGACAGGCGCTGAATGCCTTATTACAAGAATATGTACTTAGACGGCTGAATCATTCTTACGTTATGTACATGTCTCTAAACGATATGATCACCCATTCCGGAATCGCGTCCTGTGCACCCAAAGATCCATGCAGGCACCTACCAGAGAATGGCTTGAAGTACTTTACATTGAAAGGGACGATTGAATGCTACACACGATTGCAACCGCTAGCTCATGCATTGCCACGGAGCATCAATTTGGTGAAAAGATACACATTTCAAACGACCGGCTCGCTCACAATCTGCCCATGCCAGCGTCTCGATCTTGCTGTATCAATCACCTGGCCCTCTTACCTGAACACTTCTCATCATGACCCTCAAGCTTGCCTCGCCATCATGAGAACCCGTAGATCGAACCGTTCAAAAAGATACTCCGAGGCCATTGACTACGGACTCGATGACGACGAAGAGACCAATGGAACGTCAACACGACGCGCTGCTCGTGAAGCCTCCGATGATGACAACTTCGTCGTCGACGCAGAGGCGGCGCCAGCAGAGGATGACGATTTCATCGCGCCAGACGAGTCGGACGTCGACATAAAAGACGGCTCATTCCTTGCAATCGACAGCGACGATGATGCGAACGGCACAGGCAACCTGAACCGCAAGAAGCGAAGCTACCACAATCGCAGGAAATTACCACCTGGCCATGACGCGAACGCCATGGATCCGTATCCGCAGGAGTCCCGGTTCACACAGACGCGAATGCATCACGGCATATTCTCCTCGTGGATACGCACGGCATTCTGGGACGACTTTTACGGGCCCGATCCCCATGCCGCGGCGCGAGCTGCTGACATGTTCCGCAAATGGGCGCCGTACGAGGTCCTGCCATGCAAACTGCTGGATGAGGAATGGGCCCTACAGCCGACACCGTGGGTTCGCGATGACTTTGAGGCCCTCGAGGCTGCGATCGCGCGTGAGTGGTACGAGCGCGTTCGCAAGGAGCACCGTGGCCAAGTCCAGCGACCGTTGGACGAGCTCGAGGCGACGCCGTACCTGTCTTCGATTGGCGGGGCACTGAAAATCCTCAGTGGACCATATCCCGACCAGCAGCAGTATAGTCTTGGCCTCAACGAAACTACGGCCCTATCTTCGGACGGCCTCCCATACGGTTCCGATACCATGGAGACGGACAAGACGGCCGACAAGCCCGCCGGGTGGATGTTTGATGTCGGCGGTCTCGTCCTGGGCATGAGCTGGGTTCCCCGGGCGAAGACGACGACGCAGATCCTTGCACTAGCCGTGAGCCCCTTTACCGACCAAGACTACGATTGGCAGCAAGAACAAGACTATGTGAACGATGAGATGGAGCGGGGCCGCATCCAATTATGGGAGTTCAAGTGGGAGCAGGCAGACAATGGTGTGAAGTATCCGTCAAGGGAGCGACCTCGGCTTCTTCAGACTCTTTGTTTCGATTGGGGCAGGGCGAAGACCATGCACTGGTGCCCCGTACCTTCGGCTGTTGAAGGTCACCTGGGTCTCCTGGCTGTCTTGTGCAACGACCGCCAGGTTCATATACTTGACTTGCAAGAACCTGACAACGAGTCAAGTCCTTACAGTATGTTGTACCGTCCCAGTGCGATTCGCCGGCGAGCTGACATGTTGTTGCAGTTAAGATCGAGACTTCCATGGCCACGATAGGAAGTCTACCGGGTCTTCCAGCAAGTGTCACTATATTTGCTTGGTCTGGAACCAACCGCATTGTCACTGCACATACTGACGGATCCATTGCACTCTGGTCTCTCCATCCTCCGAAGTGCCTCTCACGACATGCCGTACATAGCACACACGTCTACCACCTAGCCACAGGCTACCCCTCGAATCCTTATCTCGTGGCTTCGACTCCCGTCAGTGGCCTGACCATCGTCATCGACCTGCTCGATCCCAGCGTCGAGACGACGTCACAGACGAATCCCGCCATCGTGCCCCAACCAGATCTCTTGCAATGGTCAGATCATCTTCAAGGCTTCGTCTCCATTTCCCCGTCCTCGCGGCCTCTCAACAGCACAGTTGGCTTCTTTCATTCGCGGGCTTTTTCCGCCACGATGCGCAAAGTCATCGATGGCGACGCCCTCCTGTCATGCCTCGCCGTTGGCGTACAGCACCCTTTCGTGCTCATCGCCTTCCTCGACGGCACCGTATGGGCTTGCAACCCCATGCACCGCGTCTTCGCTCCTCGCCACTACCCGCCCGCATGGAAGCTGAAGCTCTTCGAGCACGAGCACATTCCGCGCATGCGCCTTGGCGCCGACCTCAACCCGCCCGATGACCCTTGCCGCGGCGTGTCCCGAATCGTGCAGGGGTGGAAGCCCGTCATGAACAAGGGCCCGCAGGCGTTGATCAACTTGGCGCGGAACACGCCTTCGGCACGACCGCCGAAGAAGAAGAGTAGGGCCATCCCACGGCTGAAGAAGGCGAAGAAGAAGGCAGAGGAGGAGGCGGACCCGGGGGCTGCAGGAGCTGGGGAGAATGGCGAAGACGGCGGCCTCTATGCTGACCCTGAGAAGATCATCCTGCGAGAACCGCTATCGAGGGCGACGGCTATGGCCTGGAATCCTAATATGGAGTTTGCTTGCTGGGCGGCCATATCGCTGGCGTCAGGGTTGGTCAAGGTGATGGACCTCGGCGTGGATTACCTGCCAGAATAAAGCCCTAGTCGATCGACCAACGATAATACCCTCAGTTGATATAAGAATGTCAGCCAACAATAACCCATTTTCTGTGAGGTGCTTCACATAGAAGCCCGGGTGCTTGTTGTCGAGTTATGCCGTCTCCATCGGGTGGCCCATTGTAACACAGCTGCCGCCAAAGGACGCCAGCTGTGGGCCTCAAATTGTGCCAAACGTGCCTCGGACCATCGGACGTTCGACATGTGGATATTCCCAACAAAACGATCATCCAAGGCCGTCAACGGGCTCAATGTCGACTGTTGGGAGACCTAGGAAATGATAAGAGAAGAATCATCCGCATCGCTAAAGGATTGAGTCTCAATCAGTCTCGAAAGGGTAAAATAAGTGCCTCGTACGAAAAGACCATGAAAGAATCAACACCCACAGGCTTGCGCCATCGTCAGCCGTCGCCCCTCCACCCAGCAACAGATCCCCTGCTCACAACAGCCAAGAAAATCGAAACCAAAATCGAGGATAATTTCAGGCGCGTCGTGGACTGGAACGACCTCGCGCCCTGGCGGCGTGACAATGCTTTCATCCACACAGGCTACCGCCCTGACTCCAATTCATACTCCGGCTCCTTCGCCAGCCTGAGCTACCTCCACAATGAGTCGGTCAACATCTGGTCACACCTTGTTGGATCGCTCTTCTTCCTCGTTTTCGGGATATTTCTTTACCACGAGGTAGTTCCCCGGTATGCGTCTGCCACCACGGCCGACGTGCGCGCCTTCGGCTGCTTCTTCGCCGGCGCCGTTGCGTGCATGGGCATGAGCGCCACGTACCACGCCCTGTCGAATCACTCACCGGCTGTCGCGCGCTGGGGGAACAAGCTCGACTACACCGGGATCGTACTCCTCATTGTTGGGAGCTACGTGCCGGCTTTATACTACGGGTTCGACTGCCATCCGCACCTCATGACGCTCTACCTCTCCATCGTAAGCCACTTTCGCCACCCGTCTCCCCTGAAGCAAGGCGCAGCGCTGACAGGACCTGTTCCAGATCTCTCTCCTCGGCATCGGCTGCGGCGTCGTCTCCTGGCTCGAGGTCTTCCGCACGCCGGCCTGGCGCCCCTTCCGCGCCGCCATGTTCGTCGGCCTCGGCACGTCAGGCGTCGTCCCCGTCGTCCACGGCCTGGTCATCTACGGGCGTGCTGAGCTCGAGCGCCGCATGAGCCTGAGCTGGCTCCTGGCGCACGGCGCCATGTATGTTTTCGGCGCGTTCCTGTACGCGGCGAGGTGGCCTGAGAGGAGCTACCCGAAGCGGTTCGACATTTGGGGCAGCTCCCATCAGATCTTCCACTTGTTTGTCGTCATGGCGGCGGCGACGCATCTGTATGGTATGGGGAGGGCCTTTGATTACCACCACGGGCCCGAGGCGGCTTGCTTGGCGAATTAGACATGGGTTGACCCGAGTATTCAGGACGAGCCAGATCCCTAATGATAATGAAACAGTCTTACAAGATCAGCCATCGGTAAGGTGCTCAGGACGGGCCAGATCCTTAATGATAATGAAATATTCGTACTAGGTTAGCCATCGTATGACAAGGCCATCGTGTTGGCGGAACTTTTGCGGTCCTCGTAGCCTGCTCGTTAGGTCTATCATACCATGTCCATGGTCTGAACTCTTTTCGATCAGCTTGTATCACCGCATACATGTCCGTAATTGTCATTATTCAGGTATCAAATGCTGTCTAAGCCAAATGACTCCATTCCCGCGCGCGGAGCACACCTCGCGCCTTGATGTCCATGTTACTCCAGGGCAGATCGTGCCTTTCAGTCCGGTTGTCGATGGTCGATTTGGAACGTCTATTTCTTGCCACTCTTCTTGATGCCGCCGCTCGCCAGAGGGCCCTTGCCCTGGGCCTTGAGAGCCATCTCCTTGCGGGCCTTCTCCTCTGTTGTGGCGCAGTATCATCAGCACAAAGATCGAGGGGAACTTGAATGAGGTCAACGTACCGGCCTTCTTCTTCTCGGCAAAGGCAATGTCCTCTTCGTCCATCTCCTTGTTCTGCTTCTTGGGGGCCTTCAGAGGCTTGGCCTTGCCACCTGTGAACTTCGTCAGCTGCGATTCATAGGGCGGCCCGTACTTGTTCCATGTTGAACGGGCGGGGGAAAGAGGGGACCAACCATCGCGGTTTGCGCCACCCATTGTGCTGGTTTGTATCTGGTGAGTGCTGGGTCTTAGTGGAGTGGAACAGCAAGGTGATCAGATGTTCAAAGTTGGACGCGATGCAGAAAGCGACGACAGACGGCCTAGCGCTCCAACTGGACAAGCAGTCTTGGAGGGGTGAAAATTGCCCCTCATCGGGGCGGCGGTCAGGGATCTCGGTTAATGCAATTAAACGTGGTCTTATCTGCGACCCGATTTTACTCCGTTATCACCACTCTCCAGCCTTCCTGCTGGGTGCATCCATCTATCTGCCTCGTCTCGGCGAGTCCCTTTGTGTCGACGTCACGCGAATACCTTCAACCCATTGCTGTGACAGTGTCAAGCAGACCCAACACTACCAACTGCGCTGCCAATTGCCCTTGACTCTACCTACACCATCGCTTTTACCCTGCCTCTTGGCCGTCGTTCTTACCCTATGAGCTGAGTCGACAGAGTCATCCGGTTCGCCTTGATTCCTGCCGCTTTCAAACGCCTCCAAAGACCCTTGCTGACACGTTCTGCCTCGCGCATCAAAAGCCTAGGGGGCTCCCCTCTGCCGGACTTGCATATTACCCTACACGCACAGTGCGTGCAGCATAACGATGACGTCGAGCTCCGACGAGGGAGAGATCGTCGAGCACGATGCTGGAGACTTGAAGGCAACTTCACTGCCGAAGAAGCTTGACGGAAACGGTGTTGACCGCCCAGACAGAACCCGAGATAGATACGCGGCATCGCGCTCTCCCGAATACGGCAGCCCGCGGCGCGGCCCGTCACGACGCAGCCCCTCGCCCCGCGGCTTCAAGCGGGCGCGCGACGACCTCGACTACGGAGGCCGGGCCCGAGACCACACCCGTCGCTTCCGCGTGCACTACGAAGACCACGATCGCGACGATGCGCGGTCCTCGCGCGTCTCATACGAAGACAGGGACCGGTCGCCCTCGCGTGCCTCCAACCACAGCTACGATGGGCGCAACGGAGATCACGGCCGTGAGTCTGGTCGCCCGCGCGGGCAGGATCAGGACCGGTACCCCGACAAGAGACCCCGACAACGCAGTCGCTCACCCTACCGAGGCTCCCGCGGCTCCGGGCGAGACGATAGATATAGGAGGGATGACCAGGGTCCTACACGCAGCGCTGACGTCTCGCGATCAGCACATCAGCATGATCAGAACCAGCGTGACTTCAGAAATGGACTCTCGTCGTTCAAACGGGCCTCAGTAGGAGATGATCCACGTGCTCCCAAAGAAGTTGCTAAACCTCTCAAAGAACATGCAAACGGCGAGGCAAACGGCAAAGAGCCCCCTCAGGATGACCTTCAGGATTTTGAAGAGCCGGCCGTCATCGACGAGGAAGCCGAGATTGAGCGCCGACGTAAGCGTCGTGCTGAGCTCCTGGCCAAGTCCAGTTCCGCTACACCTCTCTTGGTTCATGCCGTGCATGCTGCTGATCGCTCGACCATTTCTTCTCCAGCGTACACTCGACAGGGCACACCGTCACGAACGGACGTCGACACCCCATTATCAGGTTGGTGCCTCTCTTCCATCATGGTCGCTCGTGCTAATTTGACAGACATGGGTTCCCCGAGCTCCAACGCTCCCCGGGATGTCCGATCACCAGCTCTTGACATATTGACCGAAACGGATCTCATCAACCGACATGTGGTCAATGACTTGGACGACGATGGTCCGTCGGCTGCTGATTACGATCCGACTGCTGACATGCAAGAGGATGGAAAGCGCGATGAGTTGCGGCACGGTAACGTCGGTCTGCACGGCGAGGCCCTTGCTGAATCACAGGCCGACATGACAGAACCTGAACCTACACAGGCAAAAGACACAAACGGCAAAGATGACGACGACGACGATGACTTTGACATGTTTGCCGACGACTTTGATGAGGAAAAGTACGCCGCCCCGAAGCAGTCTGAGGCCAAGGTTGTGAACCAAGACAAGGGAACACCAGGCCAAGCTCAACCAGTGGGTGGCATCCTCGACGGTGACGACAAGGAAGGATACTATAAGATCCGCATTGGCGAGGTCATGAACGGTCGGTATCAGGTTCAGTCTATGCTCGGCAAGGGCATGTTCTCAGGCGTGGCGCGCGCTGTTGACATTACGACGAAGAAGCTCGTTGCCATCAAGATCATGCGCAACAACGATGCACTACGCAAGGGCGGCTTTACCGAGATCTCCATCCTGCAGAAGCTCAATGATGCTGATCCCGAAAACCGAAAGCATATTGTCAAGTTTGAGCGACATTTCGACTTCAACGGCCATCTTTGCATGGCGTTTGAGAACCTTAGTCTCAACTTGCGAGAAGTGCTGCGCAAGTTTGGTAACAATGTTGGCATCAACCTGGGGGCGACCAGGGCGTACGCGCACCAGATCTTTGTGGGACTGGCTCACATGCGCAAATGCACCATCATCCACGCCGATCTGAAGCCTGACAATATCTTGGTCAACGAGAATCGAAACGTGCTCAAGATCTGTGATCTGGGAACGGGTGTTGATCGGTCAGACGCTGCCACGGCGCACAACGAGATCACGCCGTACCTCGTCAGTCGCTTCTACCGCGCCCCCGAAGTCATTCTGGGGATGCCGTACGATTACGCCATCGACATGTGGTCCATCGGTTGCACCCTCTATGAGCTTTACACTGGCAAGATTTTTGTTCACGGGGTGACAGTAACAATCAGATGCTCAAGGCCATCATGGAAGTACGTGGCAAGATCACGCCAAAGCTCTACAAGCGAGGTCAGCTCTTCAGCGATGCATTTCGACGATTTGGGCAACTTCATCAGCGTTGAGCATGACAAGGTGCTCGGCAAGGTATGTGACTCTGCTTTCTTCTTCCTGTCATCGACGGCTTGATCCTTCATCCTTCCAATCCCGTGGGGCCACCCCCCTTGGCCGTGCTGCTATTCTTGTTCTCGCTTGCTATAAGCGCTGGGGGCGCGGTCAGATCCTGCAGGTCGGGTGTGGAGCCGTCACTCCCGGCGTCCTTCACAACGGCCGGCGCGTGGGCTGGTGCCGGCATATGCGATTGAAGATGTCTAAAAGCTTCGCCTGAGGAGGCCGGTCGCGCGATGTTGGCCCCCGATGTTATGGCGTGCCCGCCTGCATAGCATCCTCCCGCTCCCACCCTGTCCGGCAGGCCTCAAGTTCGAGCCAACACGTCCAGCTGATAGGCTGGCGTTGAATCGGAAGATGACTCTCGCGCTGTCTGAAATGGAAATATTGAAGAGCACCATGCTGACACGCCTTGTCCTACAGACTGCCGTCAGAACCCTGTCGATCGTGAAGCCCACTCGCGACCTGCGTACGCGCCTCACAACTGCAGCGGCGGGGATGAGCGATGCCGAGACCAGGGATCTCAACCACTTTATCGACCTGCTCGAACACTGCCTAGCGCTGAACCCGGAGAAGCGGATCAAACCCTTGGACGCCCTGAAGCACCCCTTCTTCACGGCAAGACTGCCCCCTGCGAAGCGGTAGGGGAGGCGTGGCAGTAATGGAGGAGGCGAGGGCGAGGGAGGAAGATGCAACGCTGGCTGTGAATATGCCTTCCTCCGACGCCGGCCTACACGGCGTGCCATGGGGAGGGGGGGGGGGAGGGGGTCATGCTTACTGCTAACCTCGCGGTATTCCCGCTGGCTTGGCTTGATTAGCTGCCATGCATCCTTTGCATTGGCTCAGGACTTAAGTAACTACTTGAATCTCGGTCTAGTCAGCCCCAAGATC